TGGTAGGAAACTGTCCTGGTTTCAGCTGGGATAGAGCTAATTTATTTCCTCTTACTAGCTAGAACAGTGATGGTTTTGGATTCAGTATGGGATTTGGTATCAGAAGAATGCTAATAATATACTGATGTTTTTAGTTGTTGCTAGGGAACCAAAGACTTTTCAACTTCCCATGTCTGGCTAGTGTGCAGGTACCCTAGAAGCTGGGAGGGAGCATGGCCAGAGCAATGGACCCAAACTGGCCAATGGAATATTCCGTATCTTACAATGTCATGCTTGGCATATAGATGACGGTTTTCTGGGAAGCTGGGGGCTCCCTCTCTTCTGGGATTGCGGTTTTGGGATTTTCTCCTCCAGGATCACTAGCCAGGAATGGGCTGTGCCTCGGTTGGGGGTTGATGAGCAATTCATTGGCATTACTGGTTTGTATATTCTATTATTAATGTTATTATCATTATTATTTTTATTTTCTTTTATTTCAATTATTAAATTGTTTTTCTCTCAACCTACAGGTCTCCTTACCTTCACCCCTCCAATTCCTCCCTTGTTCCCCAGGCAAGCAACTGGGTGGTGTTTGGCTGCTATCCAGGTTCAAATCACGACAGAAACATGTAATTACCTCACTTGATGTTCAGGAGTTTTTAATCTGAGATACATAATCCAGTCCATATGGAAGCAGGCTGCCAGCTCCAGTGTTGGTGATCCATTTATTAGAGGACTACTGGGCCTCTCTGTTCTTTGTGTGATACAGATGGTGTAGAAGTCAGGTATGAGACATTTGGAGCTGTTGGGCCTTTCTGGGCACACAGATGATTTAAGAATAGCAACTATTGTTTTATTTGCAGCATTTATAAGACTAAAATTTGTTCCTGGGCTGGAGTTATGCATGAAAATTTGCGAATCGCCAATGGCAGAAAAAAAAAGAGCAACAAAAGAGGAATTTGAGTGAAATTTGTAAGAACAGGCTCAATCCTGGAGTATGATGAGTGCTGCTACAGAAGGCTGACTGCTCTTGCTGCTGCTGTTTACAGCAGCATGAATGTGCAACTATAGCAGCACCATAGAAAGCATCTTTATAACCCTTTAATTTCATTTGGAACCACAGAATAACAGAATATCCTCAGAGCAGGTGCATATTCTTCATTGAGCTTATTTAAAGCCTTATGCACTGCTGCAAATTTAAAATACCAGTGGCAGGAGGTAAGCTTGTTCAGTTTTGGATAAATTAAGGATAGACCTATTTGAAATAGTTAAAAAGCCTCTTAGCAAGACCAGTGTCCAGCTGCAAAGCAAAAAACTATTATGGACTGACAGGTGGTTTGCTAAACAGAGCTGCAGATGACTAGAAGAGAGATGGTACTTGGTATATAGTAGCAGTTGCATACAGGCCTGATAAACCAGGTAGAAACACATGGGTGGGAGGGAATAGTTGGAGATGCAAATAGATCCCCTAGCTAACAATGTGCTGCATTGCAAAGCCATGGACTTGTCAAATACATTTCTGCAGGACAAAGGAGAAAAAGAGAAAGCACATAAATGTGGATTATGCATTTTGTTGCTGGTAACTGGTATTTTTATTAACGCTGAGACAAAAATGTGTTAGCCAAATGTATCAAGCAAACCAAGCAATTCTCTGCATATCTACCATATAATATCACATATATATTACTACTAGTGCTCCAAGTCGTTAATTAAGCAGGGTTCTCTTATGTGTAGATTATGCTGGCAGGTTAATTATGGTTACCAGGTTACTGAATCAATAAATGAATGAGAGAAACAGATTGCATAGCTAGAAGTTGTTGTGTAAAATTAGAAGAGGAATGGAGGGGATATGCTAAGGCAGTTTAAAGGGAGATATCATAAATTTGAATTTAGGCAAAAATATGGATTAATTTTGAGATCTGTTTGTAAAAAAGAAAAAAATATTTAAAATGCTAATTGCAAGGAATAATAGAATAGGAATAATAATAGGAACATTAAAGACATACTTTTCTTCCTCAGGTCTTGGTACTGTATATAAATGTATTCCTTTTTTATGCCCTCATCTTACTCAGTCTGCAAGAGTTGCATCTGTTCTGTAGAGTCTTTTCCCCTGCCTGAATTTGCAGTGCTATTGAAAGTGTGATAAAATACTTGCTTCTGTTCTGCAAAAAGCTTCAGGATTAGTTAGCTCAGAGCCAAGACCTTCCTTTTTGTGTTTGATATGCTGTTCATATCCTGTCTTACAGTGAGAGGAGATGATTTATATTTACCAAAACAGTAAATATAAATATAACAGAAATTGTTTCCAATATTTTTGTTGTGTTAGAATAATTTTTGTAAAAGCGTATTCACTAATACTTAGCCCTAAAGTTGGTCTCTCAACTTTGGTCACCAAAGGGAAGTAGCTGACTTGTTCCTAGCAGAAGACACCATTTAAAATGAAGGACATTAGTCAGAAAGACTTTGGTTTCTTCATTCACATGGCCCATGAGAAACTCTTTCAGAAATATTATGGGCTGATAATATGCTCTTGACCTAACTCTTCCTCAGCATAGGTGAACCCGAAGGGTATTTACTCTTGCCAAAATTTCAAACATTGCTGGACTGAACATACGTTGCTCCAAGTAACTTGGTTAGTAGTTATTGGCAGGTGCATTGAGTTCCCCCTTCTGTAGTCTTTCACTAAGCAGCACAGTGGAACAGTTGATTTTTCAGTTATGTCTCTATTCCCTAGTTCACTGAATGACACTGGAGTTGTATCAGAAGGGAATTGGACAGATAGAAAAGATGGTAATTTGACAGTCAGAGCTGTTTCTGAGGAGTGGAGCTGAACACAGAATATTCAGGTGGGAAAGGCTGTAATTTGTGGTAATGCCAAAGAGTGCAGATTCACACACTGAGCTAGTGCTGCAGCGCGCTTGCGCCCTTCTGCTCTTCGTATCATCTATTCTATTAACAAAAGCAAGAAGCAGTACCGTAGGGCTCTCCAGCTGAGCAGGGTGGCCAAGGGTACAGGTCTCCTCTGCTTCCAGTTGTGGTGGTTGAAACAGCTACTGCTCCCAGTTGCACATCACAGCATCTTCGCTGCAAGTATTGGTCCTCCTGACCCATCAGAGCTCAGTGAGCTACTTGGACAACCATTCTGTAGTCTGGCTCCGATCACAGAGGCAGGATTAGCAAAAAGTCTTTAGATAATATCTTTACTGACTTAGTTCTTTCTGACATACATCAGCTAGAAAGTATTTCCCTGCTCACCACAACTGGCAAATCTGAGGAGCTTCCAATAATGAGATAGTAACCTTTGGGTCAGAAGTGGTGTGTGTGAGACCTTCTCTGTTCTGGATGACCAAGTAAGTTATTCTTCCCTCTAGAAGCCCAGACACACGTTTTGATCGCCCTGGAAGATAACTTGTCTTTGACCCATGTGTGACTGTGAGCACTTCATTCCTCTGTCACTTTTCACCTTCTCTTTTTTTTTTTTTATTCATCTGTTTAAATTGTAAACTTCTTGGAAGAAGGAATCTCTGTTTTCATGATTCCAAAACAAAGCCCTGATCTTGTTCAGGTCCTTCAGTTTCTGCTGAAATAATTAATGAGGTTTTGTGTGAGCTGTTGCAAAGTGCCTAGAGACTGCTAGATTTGCCTACACGGTTGCTGTGCTGCACCTTGACCAAATTGTTGTTTGTAAAGCAATTTTGTCTCTAATATAAAAGGCACTGTATAAAATCAGTTCCCATTATCTTTTCATAGAGAATTTTCCATCTGAATTGTAAACTTAGAATTGCTGACTATCTCCTTAAACACTTCCAGATAATAATGATACATGTTCTTCCAGGTAATATATATCATTACTTTTTATCAAGAAAGGCTTGGTTCATAGCTGTAGAAATAATATGATTTATTGGCCTCCAGCCAATCAGTTAATTACCTGCTAGTTATTTAAAGCACCTGGGGCTTTGGTTCATTCCAATGTAAGTTATTAATTTGCTGGTAAAGGATCAGTACCTCATAAATAGTTTCTCTAAATAACTTTAAAATACTGCCAAAGTTAATTTTTTTTAAAAAAATATCATTTATTCTTATGTATAAGAATAAATATGTGGGGGAGAGCTTTAAATTGTGGTTATATAAGGCAAGTGTTTTGATTTGAGATACCAGATAATAACCCCATATCCATGTGAACTGCATGCAAGTGTCATAGACTTGTTATTTAGGCAGCTTCAGGTCTTTTGAAGTATCTTGGTGGTTTACATGTAACAGACTGATTGAAAACTGATTTGTTCTGTAATACATAGTCAGTTCAGGTTTGGTTTTTTTTTCAGTCCTGTGCTTTTAAAATAATATCACCTGGAGTAGTAGGCCAGGCTTAACTTGTGGTAAGTCCATTGAGATAATTTACAACAGTTAAGGCTCTGGCTGCCTTAAAGTAGTTGAGACAGATAATAGACTCTTTCATCTCTCTTTTTCTGTGTCTCATCTCTTCTCTTTTTTTCCCCTGGAAGTCATAAGCCACTTATTTAAAATGTGGGAGAACGCATGTAGAAATCACTGTTCTCAGAAGGAAAAAGCTGGGACTGTCTTTGGCCTGGGAAGCATCTTTTAGGTGGGTTCTGTACCCAAAGTTAGAAAATAATTTTTCTGCAGCATTCTTACAGTTTTGGTTATAAAGTGTGTCTCAACTGCTGAATTGCTTTAGTAACTCAAGGGGAGAGAAAAGATTCTGTAATTGCTTAGGTCCTAGGCCTTGCTTAGATGCCTTATATCTGCTAAATAAACCGATGGCCCAGATATCTAGTTTAAGGACAGGTATTATATACACACCCTTCTTGCAATGGACCATTACTAAACTCTGTGTGAGCTGAACTCCCTCAGAGAACTTAACAAATATGCCCAGGTGAAAGGAATTACATTAAACATGCTTCAGTTTTAACCTCAAGTGAGAGAAGTTGTTAAAAGCTTCTAGTAGAACAATGGATGAAAAAGGTTGTTCTCCATGTCTTGTGATGTTTACATTCATCGGGATGGGTGAGGAACCTGACAAGAGCCTGAAGCAGTGAATCACCAGTAAATCAGCTGGCCAGCTACCATAATTTAGAAATTATCTCATCTAATAAGATTTGTCAGGATCAAATCTGCTTGACCTTGGCTTGTTAATATGGGTTCAAATGGTGGCTGGAAAGATAAAGTAGACAGAGCAGAGCATGGTCTGTGCTAGAAAGCTGAGAAAGGTAGTGCTTACCATAGCGGGTACTGTAATAAGATGGACAAGAGAGAAGAGGTCACTGGAGCAGGAGCCATGCTAGAAGAGATACTGAGGAGTGCAATGCTAGTTCTCCTGCCCTACACATTCTTGCAGCCTGCGGGAAAAAAGCTGCTGTACCCAAAGCTACTTGTGATGAACTGTTAGCATTTGTGCTGCTCTGCTTTCTTCTTTTTTTCCAAAAAGCCTCAGTCAAGTTCTCATGGTACTGTGTGGTGGATATACCCATACAGAACATTCCCTGTTGGGGGAGTTCACCATCCAAATAACAAAGAATGGCTTAAAGATGAGAACAGATGAAGAGATGAACTTTGTTGTCCCAGTTTGTTTATGCTGGCTAAGCTGATGACTAAGCTAGGAGGAGAGGTGGATTGCCCACCTCATGAGTGCCAAAAGCAAAAATGTAGGTTTGTATCACTGCTGAGAGGTGGTTCTGACTGAGAAATAAACACCAAAGCAAAGAGACTTTAGCTGAAAATTGGGTTCTTGGCAGCAGGAAGTGCCTGATCTGATTTATAGCTTTTCTTTTTTTTTTTTTTTTTTTCCCAAAGTTTGGGCAGGCTATTCCTTTTCTTTCTCTCTCCTCTTTTTCCTTTTCCCCTCCTTCCCCCTGGTCCTCTGATTTTCAGCCCTCTTAGATCTACCAGTTAGTTGGTCTCTGCCCACAGACCTGGAAGGAACGCTGTACTCTAGTGTTAAAGCGACAGCTTCTTTTATCTTGTGTGCTGCAGTTATCTGACTTGTGCATCTCAGAACAAAACTGATAAAGACTGCTCAGACAAGATGGTCATTTTCAGTCTTTAATAGCTTACCGTAATTTAAAAATCTCATGAAAGAACTGTGTGTTAGTTGAATGATGATTAATAGGGATGCTTATGAATAAAATATAACAATTTATGTCTGATTTTGCAATAATAGTGTTAGACTTATCTCTTTTCTCACTTGAATCTATATAAACAAAGGGATCACAAGAGAACAGCATGTCATTATAGAGCCACCATTATGAACTTTTTGCCTGGGTGAGAAGATTGTTAGGTTTAAGGTGCAAGTTCCTCCTTGTTCAGACAAGTGCATGCCTGTACATGGAGGATGGGCCCTTTTCACGTTTTGAGTACTTGCCCCCACGTAGCTAAATCTGACTACAGATTAGGCAGTAGGTTAGGATAGATAGAAATGAGCTATTTGAAAAGTGCAGTGGCCCAGTCAGATGAAGATTGGCACTAGTTTGATAAAACCAGTTCAAATGTCTATTTAAAGAAACAAGGGAAGTAGTCAAGTTTACGAAGCTAAATGCCATATGAGAACTCAAGTTTGTTCCCGATGTTGTGATGAACAATTGAGTTTACACAGAAATGTCAGTAATGGAGTAACTTGTGGGGTTTTTGTTTATAATGCCAATACATCGATGTTCTGTGTCTTCACTTGCAGCTGCACTGAGAGCTTGTGCTGATGGAGGTGCCAATCGTCTCTATCAGATCACAGAGGGAAGCCAGGACAGGTATGTTAACAATAAACTTGAAGGCATTGAAATCGTCTCTTCTCAATGAAAGTAAAATACGGAGGAATGGGGTCTGTGGGAGGTAGTATAATATTTTCTCCACATTATCTTTAAATTTTATTCTCAGCTACAACTTTTAAAAACACTCAGATAGCCTGAAATACCTTTTTTCCTTAAGTCCACTGGTCTTTTTTGCTTTTGAAAGTCCTGCTCTCACTCTGTCTTATTTTATGCATCTATCAGAGCTAGGACTTTGATGCAGCCTCTGAAAAAAATTGCTGTGCCCCTAACAAGGGTTGACTAGAGGAATGTCTGATGCCTCTCACCAGGTGCTGAAAGAAAATGTGTCTTCTTCATTCTTCTTGTGAGGCCTTAGAGGAAATCTGTTTGCTGTGTGAAGTGAGATGGGTAATAAAACAGGAAGTCTACTTTTCTTTTTGAATTATTTCTAGATTAGTATCAGGGCATTATATGTGCCCAAAGGCAGGTACAGAGGTTAACTATAAATGTATATGCTAGGTGAGGAAATGCAGCTTGAAAAGAGAGTATGTTCTTGTTTTCTGTAAAGGCATTTAAAATTGTAAAATTTCCCAAGTTTCTGCCCCAGAAGTGTTGAACTGGGTTAGTGAAGAGGAATACTGCATTCAAGGGCTTTCTCATTTTTGCAGTAGAATCATGGAATGCTGTGTAATCTTATGTTACAAAGGATCCTTTTTGCTTATCTTTAGGATTTTCAGTTGTTTTGAGCAAGGATTCATAAATAAGTAGTTTAATAGAAGCAAATAAATATAATAAAGGTGACTCTCAGGGCAAAGGAATGAGACAGTTATTTGGACAGAAACTTATAAACAATTTTGTTCATACAGCAACATCTGACACATATTTTTGTTTCATCTCATGGCAAGTGTGTGATAGAGGCTGTGGAAGCTCAGCTTCCTCCTGTCCTTCAGAGAAAAGAGCGGAGTTGGAGAGGAAGATTGTAGTCTTCAAGTAAAAGATAACTTAAAATTTCTTCCTTTGTTACCTGTGAGAAGTTTGATGGCTGAGATCTGCTACTGCTAAAACGGAGACTGGAGTATTCCTTCTGTAGTCTTTCATTTCTCTTCTCCTAGTGGTTGCTCACAGAGCCATGCATATCTTAATCTTTAATTCAAATAGAAATCTGTTTGACTTGCAGCAAGCAGTTCTCTTTGGTAATGGTGATGCTTCCCAAAGAACAGCATTTTAGGGCTTTCATTTTACCTTCCCCTGTAACCCATTCATCTTTTCTGCACACCTTTATGTTCATATTAAGTAAATATAATTCAGGGGAAAATGGATGATTATACCTTGACTGAATAGTTCTTTCAGTCTTACATACTTGGCCCTTGGAGTATTCTTTTTCTCTATCTTTCTTCTTCTCATCTTAATTGCTTTGGGCAGGTCTATTTTACCTTCAAAGTGATTCTTTTGAAACAAAAAAAAGGCCTGCATAATTTTTATTTTTGTCTTTAAAGAAATCATTCTGCTGGAAAGAATACTCATTTACTTCTCTGAAGTATTTTCCCTTAAATTCCCTTCCAGTGTTATTAAAGAGCTGTCTGCTCAGACTCTACTGACGTGCTAATAATTTTTTTAATGCTGTCTTAACTTTGTTTAAAACTCTATTTTATTCAAAGCCCTGATATCTAATTGTGTTGTATCAAACCCTAAAAACTATAGTACTTTAGTTCTGGAGAGATTATTATATCCAAGAGATATAAATAATGAACTTGATTGGTATTTTGGGTTTGATTCTCAGTGACACGAAAGTGTGTGAAGAATCTTTTAGAATGGGAATAAATTATAACATTCTGGGAAAAGGACAGCTTGCAATATGGGACTGTTGCAGGGGTGTCTTCTTTTGGAGATGAAGGAGTTGTTGCTATTTTGAAGGGTCCATTTCCAAATCCTAGAAAAATAGAGGTCTAGAAATGACCTCAAGAGATCCATCCTTCTTTCCCTTTGCTTTAAGGTGAAGACAAAACTATCTGTTCCGTTATTGATGCATACCTAGTTAACTGGTTCTTAAAAATCTTCAAGTGGGAGCCCTCCCCACCACATCCAGCTTCCTCTACTTTAGGCTGAAATATGCGCAGCTTGTTTGGTCTTTCTTTATTGGTCATCTTTTCTTATTGCTCTTATTGGCCTCTTTTCAGTTAGTTCATAACTGTATCTTAAAAGTGCTGTGGCTGAAACTAGGCAAGATGCTCTACAGGAGATTTACCCCATGCTGAACTTTAACTTGCTTTTCATGTTAAGTTGGCCTATGCTATTGCATGAAAAGGAGCAAAAGCAGATCTTAGGGTCTCGCATTTCCTGCCTCCATCGGTTTCCTGTTTTCTCCAACCGTGTCTTGGCTTGTTTCTGTGCTTGAGTGGTTCACCTATTCCCATCAAGCAAGAGAAGCTCTCACCTCCTCTCTATAGCACTGCACAGGCTGGCTTAGCAACGTGACTTCAGGTCATGAGATTAACGTCTGTAAGATGTGTCATTTTTGTGATGTGTTTGGTTGGTTTCCCTGTAAGTTTCTGTAAAAACTAGCTCAACAAATCTGAATTGCAATTATTCTTTTTTAAAAACAAACCAACCAACCCAAGAAAACCTTTGTTTTTGTAACTACTAATGAGGAGAAATCATGCTGGTTTTTAAAATGATGTGGTAAAACAGATTGTCTTCTAGAGCAGGAGGGGTACGAAGAGTAACCAAAAGGGCAGGATAATGTTTCTTTAGAGAGACCCGTCCTTGGGTGCTGCCAGTGTTGGGGTCAGAGGAAAGGCAGGAAGGAAAAAGGGATGGACTCTTGCGCTTTGTTCCTTTTCTCTCTCTGGCTCTACAGCCCAGAAAGGTTATTTTCCTTAGACTGTGTTTTTGCTTTGTTAACATCAGTTCCCACTTAGAAATAATGATTACTGCTAAACCATTCTTGATTGCCAAACATTTGCAGCTAATCAGAGTTAAAGGTGAGTTACTGATCTTTATGTGTTTTTTTGCTCTGCCTTGTTCTGTCTGCCTTGCCTTCTGTTGTATATTTCCCTGAATCGCTATGAAACACTGTTATCCAGAGTTAGGTTATGGCTTATCTGTATCACACTACAGCAACTACTTTCTCAACACTTTCTGATTAAATCTTAAGGCATTGATTAACCTGTGTGTCACTGGCTTTGGGGTATATGAAGGTGAAGATGCATCGAAAGCTATCATATAGGCACCTGTATAAACAATTGTTAGTACTTGTGTCTAAGATGCTGTTTTCCAGAGAGAAGTCAAATCCATGGTATACTCAGGTTTTGCAACAATAAAGGGGGAACAGTGGGCTCTATAAGAGGAAGGATAATCCTATCATAAAAAAAGCTGGCTTTCTGGGGTTCTGTTTAGTATTTCAGTATATCAGACTTACTGTATGACACGAGGTGGGTTGCCTACCATCACTGAGAACATCACTTTTGCTACCTTTCCAGTTTCTTTCTATGAACTGCATAAAGTATAAGAGTAGCAGTGAAACTGAAAAATGGTTGTATATTTTGATGTATCATTTTCTACATATAAAACATATATGAGGTGAACTTAGGCGATGCATGAAAGTCCAGTTGTTACTACATAATTCGTCTCTGAACGAGGCATGCAGGGAGGCATCTCCAAGGTCTACATGTGTGTTTGAACACTAGGAACAAATTTTGTAAACATTTAGCAGCTGCATCAACCATAAATTTCAAGCACAGACCTCAAAGAATCTTTTTGGAAGCAACTTATGTTCAGGAATACAGATTGCTACATAAAGTTTATCTTTTGGTGACACCCCTTCCCCCACCAAAGCGGCAGTATTGGATGTACAAGGTGACGTTAATTCTTTAACTTGAGTTTAACAAACTCTTCTCTGTCCTAGGTTTGTGTTGAAAAGCTAAAGTGGAAAGTAGAAGTCTTAATTGTACAGCTTTTACAGCTTACACTTACTGAATTTTGTGCTTGTAAGTGTCAATGAATAAATTTAGAACTATCGCAGACTTTTCAATGCTGACAACTACTTGTCCTTCACATGCCTGGAAGTGTTTTCCAGGATTAGCTGCTCCATCACCTTCCCAGGGATCGAAATGAGGCTGACCAGCCTATAGTTCTGAGAGTCTTACTTCTTGCCCTTCTTGAAGACAGGAATGACATTTTCTTTCCTCCAGTTTTGGGCACTTCTGCCAGTCACCATGATTGATCAAAGATTATCAATGCCTTGCAATGACATCAGCCAGCTCCTTCAGCATTCATGTGTGCACCCCATCTGGGTACACGGACTTATATCTGTGTATTTTGCTGAAGTATTCCCTGACCTGATCCTTTTCCACCAAGAGTACATCCTCCTTGCTCCAATCTTGCCCTGGTCTCTGCTGCCTGGAGTCCTGAAGCTGGTCTTGCTAGTAAAGACTGAGACAAAGAAGGTGTTCACTACCTCAGCTTTTTCCATGTTCGGTCCCCTGTCTCATTGAGTGATGGGCCTACATTTTTCCTTGTCTTCCTTTGACGCCTGTGTACATGTAGAAGCCCTTAACGTTGTCTTTGATGTCCCCAGCCAAATCCAATTCCGTTTGGCTTTGGCTTACCTAGCTTCATCCATCCCCAGGCAGAGCTCCATGCACTCCAGATGCTCTCCTACATTAAGGGCAACTCCTCCTCCTCATCTTCCCATCCTGTCCTTCCTAAAGAGCCTGCATGCCCTCATTGCAACACTCCATCCATGTTTCCATGATCCCAAGAAGACTGTAGCTCTGCAACTGCACACAGGTCTCTAACTCATCATGTTTGTCCTCATGCTGCATGCATTCTCCAGGGCTTTATTTTGCCCCAAAAGTTTGAAAAGGAAGCAATAGGCTTAACCATTGAATAGGAAGACTAAGCTAGTGTAACTTCCATGAGGAAAAGTAGTTGCATAGTTGCTTGTATGAAAGGTGGAAAGAACCCATAGTGGAATTGTCTGTATGTTTTGATGGCTTCAT